CTCAAATGCAAATACAATCAATTTATAATCAAGATAAAAAGGCACAAGGTTTTTATAAAGAATATACAACATTTGATGAAATATTACTTACTATAGAAGAAAAACAAATTCAAAAATTGTATAATTTTTTACTGCAATGGGATACACTAGATGAAGAAGTTAAAGATACAGTGTTAAAATGGTCTAAAAACTTTGGCTATAATATGGAATTAGAAAAATGGCAACAAATTTGGACAAAAATATAAGTTAACATTAGCAACTTCCTACAAAGAAAATTTTATATAAAATGTTTTATAGATGGCATTTATCATCAGCTAGACTTGCAAAAATATTCCCAAATATGCCAAACAAGTGTTGGAAATGTAAAAATCATGAAGGAAGTTATTATCATATATGGTGGAGTTGTGATATAGCAAAAAATTATTGGGCTAAAATCCACGTACGGATTAGGCAAATGTCAAAACAGGAAATAGAATTTAAACCAGAAATATTTTTGTTAGGACTACTACCATCTATACTACTATCTATACTGTAGATATACAAAGCTATTATTTAATACTACATGTTTTGACAGCAGCTAGGTTAATATGTGCACAGGTCTAGAAAGAAAATTCACCTAATGATAATATGATTATTAAAAAATATTAGAAAGTGCAGAAATTGATAGAATAACTAAGAGGCTAAAGGGACAAGAAGAATAATCTCTTTCTTTAAACTGGAATTTATTTTACAGTTGGTGGAAAGTAAAAGTCCCACAGTAAAGGAACAGAAAATGAATAAAAAGTGAGATGTCATGGATAGGATCTCATCAGAAGAATTATTCTAATATACATGATTGCTTTTAGATTGACCCTTAGACTTATTTTTTGCATTTAGATTATCTTTTTTTATTGTTTGATGGTTAGAGATTCTTACACTTTATGCTTACTGTTTAAATGCACATTGTGTCACATACCTATGTTTTTTAAATTCTTTGTTGGAAAATATTTTTAAAAAACCAAAAAAACCCCACAAAAACAGTTTAATGTGAAGCCCAGTATGGCACTGTAGACTTTTATTTGAATCTGTGAGGCAAGCTGGTCAAGGAGTGGGGAGTGGGTAGTCTTGAAAAGGCCTTGGTTTCTGTAGCGAACAGCCCTGACCCCACTTGTCCGTCACTGCGGAACCTTGATGCAGGAGCCAATGAGAGCACGGAAGGTGGAGCCAGGGGGGAGTGGAGCAGGATAAAAAGACTGGTGGGTGGAGTCTGAGAGAGAGAGAGAGAGAGAGAGAGAGAGAGAGAATGTGTGTGGCTTAAAAGTGAGAGAAGAGTGAGTTAGAGAACAGCAAGAGTGTAGATTGAAGTAAAGGGTTAAAAGAGTTTTAAAGCTCTATCCTACTTGATCCAAATAATAGTGATTTACAGCCTGTAATTTACCCCATGAGTATTTATTATCAACTTCCCTAGTTAAATAAAAGACTTATGTTTTGATAACACACGTGTCTCAATACTTAAGTGATATTAAAGCATTAATATTTGGTGGTAGCGAAGAAGAAAAGAGAGCGAGATCCTTGGAAAGGCCAGGGGTATAGGGGCTTCAGAGGGGATCGTGACAGTTTCATTTCAGAATGTCTTTTGGGAACCTGCAGGGCTTCAAATACTGGACTTCAGTTCCTGGCCTGCCAATAGTGAAGGATAATGGTGAGATGAACTTGCTTATGAAAGTTAAATAGATTTACTTTATAGTGACAAAGTTAGTCTAGAAATCCATTTGATTACTGTGTGTAAGTTAGAGAGATGTCCAAGGTCAGTTTGCAAAAGCTTTGTGCAGACCAAGGTGACCTTTATCTCGTCGCTAAGCAACTATCTTAGCCCAGAAGGAGCAAGGACATAATTCTTTATTTAAGATTTATGGGACGAGAGAAGAAAGAAGAACCAAATGAGAGAGAAAGAGAATTCCAGCACGGACGGATGAAAGTCAGAAACTTTATTTTTGGAATGGACAGTAAGATTAAACTCTACCTAATAGAATCTCTAGTTTTATTGAAAATGTAGTTAGTTTGTTATTTTCGTTTTTGTAGAGGAATTATATCTTTTGGTGATGGCTGGGGTTTGGAAATGCTAAATGTCTGGAAGTTGGCTTCTTAGATAGACCATAAGCTACTATAGTTAATTGACTACTTTAAATTGATGTGTTTAATCAGGTCACGCTCACGCTACCAATTTGGGGTCCTACATATTAAAGAGTACTAGGATGATTAGATCTCCTAGAACTCCTGTAAGTGTGTTGTTCTTTGTTAAATCGGATCAGACTTGGGAGAAAGAATGTTTCAGCTGCCCTAGGGTAAAATTACAGGACCCGGTTTTGCCTGATAAGGAGCTGATCATTCCGTACCCTCTCTGTTCCGTGGAAAAGCAGTTTCTTCGGAAGAAGCTTTTCTGACAAATGGGAGTTATAGTTTGCCACTGGGAGCCAGTGTGATATAGTAGATGGAGCTAGGACTCGGCTAGGGGAAACTCACTGGGGAGTGACAATTGTTAAACCACATGTAAAAATCTCTCATATCTCAAAAACCTTATCAGATTTACTACAAGTTAAAAGTAACTTGAAAGCATACAACAAATTAGTGCATCAATATCTGGAGTGCCAGATTCCCCAGTCCTGCTTTACTTGCTTTCTGAACATCTCACTGTTGGGCTGTATATGTCTTCTGCTTCTTTTCTTGTTTACCTGTTTGTTTGATGTCCATCCCAGCTTTGCTACCCAGTTCCAGATATTACAGACTCCTCTGCAGCTGTACATTGACATTAGCCTGTATGTTTTGCAATGGCAGATTCAGCAAGGTCTCTTTATTTTTCAGTGAACTGATTTCAATGTCTCTGCCAGTGAAATTTTGCTGAACATTCTGCTTCAAACCAGATAGCTTGTTAAGTGTTTCTTCTAAAGCAGGAATAGGGAATCTCTGGCCCTCCAGATTCAACTTCTGAAAGCCACAGACCCCTGGCAAGCTTGGCCAATGGTAAAAGTATTGCCAGCATTTGTTTGAACTCCTGCCTTCTTCCACAGAGACAGGAACATCATAATCAGCTGCCTTCATGTGAGGCAAGAATTTATTTACCTGAGCTGTTGTCTTTAAAGATCCATTGCTATTCATGATTGCCAATAATACATACACTGTAGGCTAGAAAGTGGCCTGTACACTCTTTTCAGCTTGGAACCCCCAGGTGACACCTCCCCACTCTCTAGCTCACTGGTCATAGAATCTCCAGTGGGCCTTGTTTTGGTGATTGTGGTCAGGATCAGGTATCCCAGGCAGTAAGTAGAGTGACTGCTGGATCCTGGATCTTGACTTTTGAAAATAAAGTTGGGAGTAAGCTTTGCTAGCCATAGAGTCATGGTCCAAGCATTCTCTTTTGATATCTTGAGTTCCTTTGGTGTGGGTTGCCTTACCAGTGGCATGCATCTAAATCTGGATTCAACTCATTATATTTAACATGGTACAGTGGTGCCTCGCTTAGCGAGCGCACCGTAGAATGACGAATCCGCATAGCGAGGGGGTTTTAGCGATCGCAAATGCGATCGCAAAGCGATGGCCCCTATGGCCGAAAATCGCTTTGCGATGGTCAGTAAGCGGTTCGCTTACCGACCTTCGCTTTGCGACCTGCGGATCAGCTGTTCGGCGGGTCCAAAATGGCCACCGGAACACCCGAAATGGCCACGGGCAGCGTTTTCGCACCCTTGGTAAGCGAGGGGAGGGTGCGAAAACGCTGTGCGCAGCCACCGAAATGGCCGCGCGCAGCGTTTTCGCACCCTGCCCTCGCTTTCCGAGGGCGCGAAAATGGGTGCCGGACCTGGAAAACATCGCTGTATGGTGAGTTTTCTGCCGATTTGGCTTTTTTTGATCCGTGAGAGCAAGTTCTAAAGTGAGGGCCTAGAATGTGTGTCTTTGATTCTATAACAGCAATGCATAAGCACCCCAACAAATTGTCTCAAATTGGATTTTGACTAGACGGCTTAAACTTATTTGAATTTAGAAACAAAACTGCATGCTACATTAAATATATGGCATGCAATGGAAAATCTTGCTTTTTTAATTCTAAAAACGTTTAAGTAATCATAGGAGTAGGATCAAGCATAGAGTGTACATTTTGTTAGCAGTCGTTAATTACAATGAATCTTTTTTTTAGTTTTAAGTAAATATAGGGCCATCATACATGAGTAGATGAGGTTTAAACTTTCTCTAGCATTTCTTTTCCTAACTCCGCACACCATGGAGGTCTAAAAAGGAAACAAAACCTGCTGTTCAGAAAGCAAATAACGCATATACTGTATTGTTCTATCTTTCTTACACAAACACCACAAATACATAATAGTAAAAGATATATGTGTTTATGTATTTTTATATTGCCACAAATATGTAATATTCATAATTATATGTGTGTGTGCCGTATATTGTATATTTCACATAGTTGATCAGATATGCTATCAAATCATAGGGATGTGTTGTGCACCCGTTGTGCTTGTTACTGATCATTTCTATATGCTTGCACTTATTCTTGATTTATCACTTGCAGGTCACTTAACCACAGAAAACTTTGCTATATTTATCTAATGTGAGCTCTTGTATGCAATTGGTAAGCATGTGAAGTAGGGTGGGGTGGGGGATGGTTTAATGGCTTGAGATGTCATATAGGAACTGATGACATTCTAAAACAGAAAAGACTATGCTACTTTGATATCACAGTTGCTAAGGCGAAGAGGCAAGACTGTGTGTGAGAGCTGTTTCCGAGGTGAAAAGCATGCAGCTTCTACAACGACAGGATTGTACCTCCCTGCCCTTGTATTGTCCTTATGGCACCTTTCCCAGCAAAGCTAATGTTGCGCTCACCCTTGTTGAACTGGCAAAACAGTTCAAGAGGAATAAGCTGACTTGCAGAAAGGTATAAGAAATTAATTTGGAGTGGGTGGGTAGCTATCAGCTATATACATTCAAATGCAGATTCTCTCTTATGTTCCCACCTTTTCTTTGACATCATCCATTAAGGCCAACAAGAAAGTATACAGGTTCCCAAGGAAGAGTGCAAAGATCCTCCCCAGTTGCCATTTCAGCCCAATGCGAGGATGGTAATCTTCTAAAGCTGCAATGGTTTCAAACAGTGGTGGGCAAAACATTCCAAGCAAGGACATCACAATTTCAACCTGCACAAAGATAGAGAAGATTTGTCACCAGTGAACTGTTGGCTCAAGACTGTGAAAATGTTTCAGACATTTGCTTCTTACTGCTGATGCTGTGGCTTCATCAATTTGCTGAATAGTGGAGAGTGGGTGGGGAAAATACTTTAGATTTGCCAGAGCACCCGGAATACAGTTCCCAATCAAGTCTGTGGAGATGCTGTTTGTGGTTGCCTGGCAACACTCAACCCCAAGGTGCTTATTTTTTCCAGGTCAGAACAGGAAAAAGAAGAGGATGGATGATTATCAACAGAACAGAATTGAGGAAATGAAGAAAGAACAACACTGGGGAAAAGCTCAACTTGGTTTTTGTTCCAGGTACCTCAAATCTTGGGGCTGGCTTTCTGTAATTTGACCTCTGTGACGGACAGGCCAGAAACCACACCTGTCCATCACAATGGAACACTGATTTAGTAACCAATGGTTGAGCAGGAGGGCAGAACCAAGGAAATATAAGAAGAGAATGGAGGACAGGAGTTAAGGTTTCAGTTAGTGATGAGCTAGGTTTTCAGTTAGTCAGGAGTTAGGGAAAGAGTTATGTAGATGGAAGAACTGATATGAAGAGTTAGAACTAGGAGAAGATTTGAGAGAGAGAGAGAGATAGACAGTGATTCTTAAAGTCAAAAAGTAACACTTGGAAAAACGTATAAGAGAACTGAATGCAATGAAAACTAGAAGAAATAAATAAACTGAAACTAAATACCAACTAACCAGCATATTTCTAAGTTGAATGAAGTTTAATGAATATCAAATACAATACCATCTATGATTTCCTTGATTCTTAAATATGTTAATCTGTTAATAAACAACGTTATATTTGACACAACTGATTTTGTGGTCCTAATTGGTAATTGAGGAAGGATTTCCTCTGGTGGCAGCGGAAGTGGAGATAAGAGAAATTATCATACCCGAAGGCAAATCTGTTCTGTTAGGGAGAACATACAGAGGAGCTGGGGTGTATGACAACCTCACTCTTATAAGACAATGTTCAGCATAAAAGCTGTAAGTGAACAGTGTGAGACATTATTCTTTAAATGGGCATCATTCAGCTACTCTTTGGTGTTACATGTGAACAGAGCCCCTAACTTTAGCATGGTGGATCAGTCCTGGGGACCCTGGAGTGGACAGGGAGATGGTTGAGAGAAGGATGTGGGATAAGGAATATTGGTGGTGAGAGGATGTTACTGGGTTCAGTTACTGGCTGCCCTGCCCTTGCAGCCCACTTGATCCTTTGCATGGAAAAAGCAAATATATGAATGATGGATGAATAAGTGCTTTCTGTTTGTCACCTTGCTGCAGATTATTCATGAATTGCTCATCTGACCTAATTAGGTTAGTTGCCAGAACCTCCACTGTTTTGCATGTAAGCAATTGTCCATGCTGCTGGGAGTGATGGCAATTGTAGTTAACCAGAGTCAGAGGGTAGTAAATTGGTTCTATTTAATGAGAAGATGGAACCTTATGGGGCAGCTTAGCAACCTGCCCTTCTTCATGGTGATGTTTTTGGCTTTAGGTTTTAGAAGGAAAGAAAAACATGTGGTTCTATAACTTTTCAACCATCATTTTCTTTACCCTCCATAATGACTTGGCATTCTAGCAGGTGATCTCTATAAGAACTTAATTTGCTCTGTGAACAAACCAAAGCACATTTCTGAGAGCTTTCAGTCAGCTGTCAGTTAGTCCATGTCTCACAGCAACCAGGTTCTACACAAGGGACACATACTCATCTTCGTCTGCTTGTATCCTCCCAGACAATTTTAGAAAGGCATTGGAGAGATTCACTGTGGACCGGCATTATCAACAACTAGGAGCTATGACAGCTAAACAAAAACTCCAGGCTCAGAAGCATTTTACCTCTAAATATGAGAGGTTAGGCAGAGACTTCAAGGAAAAACAATTGCCAAGTGTAGGAATACATTGATTTCCATTTAATCCTGTCAGGCAACTGAACAAATATTTTCAAATGCCAATGCTATAAAAGAGAAGACATTTTACCTCATTTCTTTCATACCAGCCAATGTTTTGCATTTTTGAAAACATCTGGGACCGCTTAACAACAAAATAAATGAGGTAGCCGCTGCCACATAAGCAACAGGTGATCAGTACGTTGGCCAGAACCCTCAGAAACCTCCTCAGATGGATGTTCTCTTCTTTGTTGCTTTCTTGCTCATCCACAATCGATTCCTTCAGATGTTTAAAAAACAAAAGGAACGCATTATTCACAGCATGATTTATAGCATTTCTTAAAAAGGGGATGCTTTGTTTTGTAGATTTCATCACTGACTAAAATTGTACATATACTGTACAGCTTTGCCTAGGCTTTGTCATTGTGACTTTATAACCTTTATTAACTTGAACCTGTTCTTCCTATATCTCACATTTATTTATTTTATTTTATTTATTCTATTTGTATCCTGTCTATCTGGCCATTGTGACCACTCTAGGCGGCTTACAGAGTCATAGTACTATGATAAAATAATAACAATAATAACAACAAAGGAATTATTACATTAAATATATAAAACTTCAAGGTGGGGAAAAAAGGGGGAAGAAAAAAAAGAAAAATGAAAGATAGACCACAAGAAAAAAGAAAAGAGACAGATATTAACTGGAGGAGAAGGCCTGCCTGAACATCCAGGTTTTTAGTTGGTTTTTAAAAATACCCAGCGAGGGGGCCGCGCGAATCTCCGGAGGGAGATTGTTCCAGAGGCGAGGCATAGGTTGTTATGTTTAAATCAACATACAATATTGATTTAAACGTAACAACCTATGGGTTGGTAAATGCAATTTACATCAGTGGTTTGACTATGTGTAATACAACCTTCAAGGCAGAGATAGGCAGCTGTGGCCCCTCCAGACGTTTTTGGCCTACAAGTCCACCAACCCGAGACAGCATACGTTAGGGTGAAGGATCAGAGCTACAGCTGCCCAAGATCATCTGGAGGGCCACAGTTGCTCTTTTCTCAGAAAATTAAAGAAGAACGTGGTGGTGCTGTGGGTTAAACCACAGAAGCCTCTGTACTGTAAGGTCTGTAGATCTTCAGCTTTAAGTTCGAATCCACGTGACGGAGTGAGCTATGGGACTGTGCAGCTGGGGGGCACAGAGAATAGGAGGTCAGGTATAAGGATTAATTCTTGGTTTCTAAAACCTTAACATTGTTATCATCTGTATCAGTGAATGAAAATAATAAACTAGATTAAGACATACAGGGGAAACCTGAGATTCTTTTAATGAGTCATTTGGGCCTTCAACCTTCATTTTGCTGAGCAACACTTGTGTCAAGTTTTCCCTTTAAGCAGGAAACTTAGAAAATGGAAAATAAAAAGAAGAGGGATTCTTTTGACAACACCATAATGGCTGCAATGTAGAATGCCTTCACGATCTAAAATATGTTTATGTGTCCTCTTGAAATGCAGCTGAAGGTGCAATGCTGCTGTGTCTTGCTGCAGAGATGGAAGGTGGGGCAGTGGAAGTTACCTTGAAGCTGGTTGTGATGGATGCAAACTTGTTGTCTGCTGTCTCTGGGTTGCCTATGAGATAATCCCAACTAGTGAACATTTTCCAGCTAAAAATGAAATTCTCATCATCTCCATCACCTGTGTCCTCATGGGCGTTCCGTGCCATCCTGCAAATTGACAATTTCACGTATGGTTGTGTGCAAACTATAATTCAAGCACTAGGTGCATTAAAAAGTCCTGATAAAAAGAAGATCCAAAGTTCCTTCTAGTTTTCTTTTCTTTCTTTCTTTTTTTTTGGGGGGGGGACAAATGTGCATACTTCTTTATTTATCTGTATAAATACATTTGGAAATGTTGATTGACTAAAATTGTATACAAATGTGTAGAATCAAAGTAGATTTCAGGCTGAATGTGTCCGTTTACACCTTTGTAACCAGCAGTGTGTTATGCTTGTAGTAATGGTTGTTATGATGTTGCTCTTCCTCACTTTTCAAAAAGAAAATAACACAAAAATAACAGTGCAATATAGCTAAGATGGGATGCCTATGTTGAGTCCCCAGTATTTGTGGGGAGAGCAATGTCAGATGCTGTGGGTGAATCCTATACTCTGGAGTTACATGCCTGTCCCCTTAGCTCCACTTGATAGTTTGGGGGCCATTGAAACATATCCTGCAATATATTTGGTAACCACTGTACCAACTACACTCTCCATTGGCTTTGTCTGGTACAGTTTATATCTCTGATGTTGAGGCTTGCCTTTTTAGAAGTACCAAGGATTCAGCTAATCCTTTTTCAGGTTATCATCCTAGGTTAATTACCGGTTGGCTCAAAATGCCATTGTGATATTTGTACTGGCACTGCATGGAATAAATACTGTGTGGTCATATCTCAAGTTTCAGACTATGGAGATGGTCTCTGATTGCTTTGTTTGATCTGATGACTGAAATACAAGATGTGAGCAGTGCCTAATTAATAGTATATGCTTGTCTCTTGAAAACAGAGATCTGGTTACTGATGCTGAGGTTTCATTGCAATGTCAGTGTGTTTGCCCATCTCCTTATGTCCAATTTGGAAGAGCTATTATGTGCACTGAATAGGAGGCTGGGGAACCCTTTGCGCACAAATGTTAAAAAACCATTTGGCCTAGATTCATTCCTAAAGGAAACCCTGACAGCTTTGTTTTAAAATTGTTTGATTAAGGAAAAGGAATGTTGTAAGATGAAGGATCCATTCTTGACTTCGTACTTGTATCGTGTGTGAGCCCAGGAAGGTCACTTTAATGCTCAATGTTCTGTTCTGATAAAATGATGCAAGGCTCACTGTACTTGTGAGCCTGAAAAAAGGGAGCATAGTGTACTGGGTCAGCACACAAGGCAGCTTCAAATATTACAAAGTTGGGGAAAAAGATGTCAAAGTGATTTATGTTCCTTCAGTTGAAAATTTCAGTGTGGTGGACAAAAGGGGAAATCCGTGCCTTTTCACTACAATAAGATGAGCTGTGCATCTGGTGCCCAAGTTCCTTCTTTCTATAGAGTGGGAAAGAATCCATAGGAGTTGTGCAGGACACTGATGGCCATTGGCCATGGTGGCTGGGGGATGCTGCATGCTGTAGTGCAAAAAAAGTAAATCATCCAAGCTGTGCTTGGGGCATTGTCATTCATTAGCTCGGTGTAACAGCAGTTGCACCCTTCTCCCTGCGTTAGGACTGTTCTGGACAAACAGGGAATTTTCCTCACAGCATTCTCAACAGAAATTGTCCTCCTGAAGTTTTGGTTTTGGTCCTCCTGTTTCATGGCAACAGGATGCAACTATATGTTCCATTGACAAACACCATTTCCCAAATGTAAATTTGCAGCTCAAGGTAAAATGTAAACCAGCCTGGGCAACTGAAATATTCCACAAATTTGGAACTGCAGGTCCCACAATTCTTACCACTGACTAACAAAATCACTGAAAGGAAAGAGGCTGTTGGTGCTTACCCTTTCCAAACTTGATAGTTTCCCCCCACAACCCCTCTTAGACTCCCCCCTCTTTTGGGCTTGTTATTGGAGAAAATATTGACAACGTTACTTCTTCCACTCAGTACAGATTCTAGAATCTCCCAGGCAGAATGGCCAGGGGGGGTTTGGGGACGTCTAAGGGGGGGGGGGGGGGGGAGAGAAAGAACAACACCAAACCCCTTTTGTGCACTTTGTCTCACAGCTATTTTTTTAAAAAAGGACTTACGATCTTATTACAACCATTAGACTGTATCCATATACGCCAACAACACCAACCATGAAATATGCCATTGGTAGCCTGTACTTCAGCCAACCAATTGTCCTTTGGTTATTGTAATAGCCATAGAAAAGAGCAGAATACTTTATGTAGCCCTGAAAAGTGGAGAAAATAGTGGAAATCAGTTTGAGCTCATCTCTTTCAGACTTTAATTCTTATATAAGCTTCTTTCACAAACAGCAGCTGAAACAGTTCTGGAGAGATCACTCTGGTTCCTCATTGCTAAAATTTATGGGATACATATTATAGATAAGATGTTTGTTCTTGACTTCATTAGGATATTCATTAATGGCATTATGGACACCAACAGAGTTTGTTGGGCACAAAAGAAAATATGAGCATAAACTTTAGCTAATGAAGAAGCTGCTGCTGAGCCTTGGCTTCAGCAGCGTGGCTTACCTTTGCCATCTTCCCTGGAGGACGTGAGATCTCTGTCAAGTCTTGTGTGCACAGCTTTAGAAGGGGGGGGACAATAGGCTATTTAAGGGCTGTTCCCCCCTCTTTGCTTCCTCTTTCTTACTGGTATTTCCCAGAGACGGAGACTTGCTGTTTGGATCTTGCCCAACTGTGCAGTAGCTGCAAGGTCCTCTCAGCACATCGTGTGGATCGGGGGGTGGCATTGGCTTCCCCGCTCAGTTTGGCTTTCCATTTTTGGTTCATTAATTTTCTTTAAATTTTATTATTTTATTGAGAGGATTGGTTGCAGCTTGTATACTTGTGTTTTTTTGAAGTTAATTAATTGTATTGATCTGGGTTGATTGCATTAAAAAGGGGTGTGTATGTGTGACAGCGGCACTTGCGTGAGCCATGCAAACACCATTCCTGGACTTAAATAATTCATGTATTGTTATTTTTAAAAAGGAGTTAATAAATAAACAAGAGGGAATAGGGGTGATCAACCAGGGTAGTAATTAATTAGTTAACCCATCGGTACTAGACTAGGGAGTAGGTGGGAGCATGTTTGGCCGTTAGGCTTTTAGATACTAGCACACCTTTTTTCCTTCTACCCCCCTTCTCTTCCCCTTGCTTCAGTGCTGAGTGGTTACTGGCTGCATGTTTTGAATTGATAATTGGCGTTTGGCTGTGATGATTGCTGGGGGAGTGGTTAGAGCAAATTCAATTCTTTAATAGGCTTCTTGGTTTGGTGAGAATTTTAATTAATGTGACTGAGATTTAATTATATGATTTGATAAGCAAATTTTAGTTTAGCTAATTAAGCTCTGATTGAGTTGACAATAATTTGGATTAATTAAATTACTAGAGTGTTTATGTAATCAACTAAGTGAGAGGGTTGTAATTATAGAATATTGACTTAATTTAATTTAATTGTAATTGAATTTGATTAAGTTTATAGGTTGTTGAATAATACATTAATTTGACTTCCACGACCAGGGTTATTATAGGCTTATACATATAGGGGTACTTAGGATTTAAAAAAGAGAGAAAAATAAAGTAAAGTAATAGCATTATTACTGAGAATTATAATCGGAAAAATCAAAATAAAAAAATATGAATTTTTAAAAGAAGGAATTAATAAAAATAAAATAACAGGAAGAGGTTTTAATAATAAGATTAATCCTATTGGGATAGGACTCTATGGAGCTGCACAATAGCAAATTCCTGGTATTTAGACCCATTTCTTAGCACTGCTTTGGTAAGTCTGAGGTCACATCGCAAATAAGGGGATTGGACACTGAGGTTTGGGCTTTTTTAGGGATCAGGGGCAGAATCTAGATTGCAAAATGGCATTGAAGATGGGTCAAAACAATAAGAATAGAAAACACAGCTGGCCAAAAAAAAAAAGAGGCTAGTACCCTAGGTATCCCCGCCCCAGTCCTCTTTAGACGAGGAGTCATGGCCTATTTGGCAGCAGTTCCAGAATAAAATTGTTGCTCTCAAAGCTGACAGGTCAGCTAGGACAACCCTACAATTAGCTGAGGCACAGCCACATTGGTCGGCTAAGGAATCCAAGGGTCACCACAGAGCTAAGCTTAGGGCTCTGGCTGACAATTTAATGGCCAGATTTGCCATTTTAGAAGCTGAGCAGCAGCTGGAAAGCTCAGCTGGAATGGAAGCCAAGGGAACAGCAGGGCATGCAACACGCAAGGACACCAATGATGACAGGTCCACGCCAACTATGGTAGCATCTGCTACGTTGGCCTCTGGTAGGCAGTAGACAGCAAGGGAGGTTTGTCGGGATGACATATATGGCACGGATGAGCCTGTCACCTTGCCTTTGTCAGGTGAGTCCCCTTATCCATATGACACTTCATTGCATTTCCCTACATGGCCTAGACCAAGCACGGGGCAGACACATACATGAGACACAGCTATACCATTCCAGCATGGCCTCAGATAAGCAACAGTTTAATCTCTACATCCGGCTTGTCATCAACACTGCCAGCGTGGCCTTGACTTGGTAGTGGCTACGTTAACATGCAACCTTTATGCAGTAGGTAATTCACAGGCACATGGAGATCCATGTACATCAAGGCCCTACAGGAGTGCCCATTTAGGTGGTTGGGCTGCCCCATTTACACAATCTCCAGTTCCAGCCCCAGTAATTCCAGCCGCTGGTGTGGGGTATGTGGCCGTACCCCTCGGCTCCAGACACGGGATACAATACCATGCTTCTACAAGGCGGCCACTCAACACCAGCAAGGAGAAGATTTGAAGGTAAATGCATTGATTTGTTTGAGTTATTGAACAGAGACAATGAAAAGGAGGATTTAGATAAGGAAGATGAGAAAGACAAAAGAGAGGCATTGGTGCAAGAGGCTGGACAGAACGTGGTCCAACTGGCTGCCTGGTTTCTTGATCTATGCGGGGGTGGTAGTAGGGGCGCAGCCTTGGTGGGCATTGTCCATATTTCAATATTTAGACTTTATTTATAGGGCTTATGTGGATTTTTCAGGGCAGACACAGCTTTCTTATGTTGAGGCGTCCGTACGAGAAGTGCCATTCACTCAAATTTGCATTGGGATGAGCCACTGGCTGGACTTCTGGCTGCAGTTGACAAACTCAGCCAGACCCAATTTAGGTGACAGGTCGGATAGTGGGCAATTGATTAGAAAGATAGTGCTAAATCTGACTCCCTGTTTAAGCACTAGGCAGGTAGCCCAGCTCCACTTGCTCTCCTGGGAGTACTACTGTAGAAGTGGGTGCTCCAAGAAACCTTGCAGGCCTTGGCATGAGTGTACAGTGTGGGGGGGGCAGCATCCCAATGCTAAATGCTTCCGGGCTGATGCACCAAGGCAGGCCAGGGCCCCTGGTAGTGTGAAGTGAGCACAATTAAGTTCTTAGTCTTAGAAACATGGCTGTGCAATTATCCCAGCAGAGATGATGCCACTTATTTATTAGAAGATTTTAAGAAAGGCTCTAGGATACCAGCGGCTGGGAGCACAAGGCATTCTTTGCCCAAAACATTAAATCAGTACACGGCATGGAAAAGGTGGTTCAAGAAAAAATAGCTAAGGCAGTAAGTGAAGGGGTGGTGGATACATTGCTGGTCTTGCCTTTAGGAATAGTACCAAAGAAGGCACCAGGTGAGTTCAGACTGATCCATCATCTGCCTTATCCTGAAGGGGGCTCAGTTAATGATGCCATTCCGCAGGAACTTTGTACAGTATGTTATACCACCTTTAGTGCAGCAGTTAACATGGTACGTGGGTGTGGTGTAGGGGCAGAATTATCAAAACGTGACTTAAAATCAGCATTTTAGATTTTGCCAGTCCACCCGCAGGATTTTGACTTGTTAGGATTTTATTTTCAAGGTTGTTTCTATATAAATAGAGCGTTACCTATAGGCTGCTCGTGGGCTGGATAGCTCAGTGATTTAGGTGTATAGCTGGGGAGCCAGAGGTTGGGAGTTTGATTCCCCACTGCGCCTCCTGTGCGTGGAGCCGGCCTGGGTGGCTTTGGGTAAGCCGCTCAGTCACAGGGTGCCCCCAAAAGGAGGGAATGGCATTCTTGGTTTCATGTGCAGCATTTGAACGTTACAGTTCTCTTTTTGAGTGGAAGATAAAGAGTGGAGTGGGAAGTAAAAATACGGCCCATTGCCTTGATGATTATCTTTTTGTGGTGAAAGTGACCCTGGGGGTGCTACAGGAGATTGTTGGACATTTAAGTTCTGCCGGCAGAGTGGTAGCACCTGGGAATGCCTTTCTGTGTCAGCTTTACAATGCAATGAAGAGATTACATCATCCATTTCACAGAACTAGAGTTACGTATGGCATGCAGGAGGAATTGCAAGTATGGAGTCAGTTTCTAACCGAGTTTAGTGGCATTTCCTTTTTGAGAGAAGATAGGATGCTTAGAGCGGAGTTCCAGGTCCAGTCAGATGCTGCAGGCTCCTTCAGGTTGGAAATATATTTTGGAGGCAGATGGTGCACTGTCAAGTGGCCAGAATGGCACCACACTGGAGTCATCAGAGATTTGAAAGTTTTGGAGTTCTTCCCATAGCTGGCGTGTTATGGCTTTGGGCAAGCAAATGAGCCAACTCTATGGTATGTCCATGGTGCGACAATCTGACGGTGGTCTGGATAATTAATAACCCCACATGCATTCAGATCATGTCACAACACTGGTGCAGGCTAGGCACAGACCATGTGTAGAAGATAGCTTAGCCGAGGCATTATTACACCAACGGATTGAGCAATTCAGGGAGTTAGATCCAGGAGCCAACGAATTCAAAGAGACTCTTCCCCTGAAGCTTGGCAATTTGGCATGGTGATTTGAAGGGATGATATGACTGGCCCGGGCTTTGAGGGCACAATAGGTGTATTCTATAGTGAGTATAGAGTTTCTGGAGTTTAGGAACTTAGTGGATTTAGTCCCTACGTAGCCAGGACCTATACAGGGTAGGTTACTGGTGCAGGCTTTCTATCCTACAGTTCATGGGATCAGATTTATTTTTCAGACTACAGCCTTCAGAAAATGATTGGAGGTTGGTCTAAGGAAAGAGGCAGATCTAAAGATTCAAGAGTACCTATATCACTGGAACTAGTATAAAGCATTTGTAAGCAGTGGTAGGTTATAGGCAGAGATGTTTATTAAGTTGTTTTATTCTGAACCGCATCCTTAATAACTTTTCAGC